ATGTTTAAGGTACGAAGTTATCCAATCTAGGGCGATACCACGAATTCCATAAGAAGGTAATTTTGATAACTAGATGTTATGGTCAGTAACGTCAAAAGCCTTTGAAAGATCTAAAAATATTCCAATGGGTGCTTCATTTTGGTCTATAGATGAAGCAACATCTTTAAGAAAAGAAAAAAAAGTAGCAGTTTACATAGATTTTGATTTTCTAAACCCCTGTTGTGAGACTGAAAACACTTCATTTTTCCTGAGAAATGTTTCCATTTGCGTATAGAAAAGCCTCTCTAATATTTTAGAGAAATCTGACAAAAAAGAAATTGGTCAGTAATTTTGAATTTCAGTTTTGCTCCCCTTTTTAAAAAGTGGCTTAATTTTTGCTGGTTTGAAAATATCTTGAAATGCATTGTAAATAACTATTAATCAACAAATAAATAGAAAGTTTAAACTTGGTGTAAATGAAATATCTTTACAAGAATACATTGAGTCGGGGGGGCATAACAACTTTAGAAAGATGGTAGTTGTGCCACTATATGGTATATTGACTTGATTTGTACACTTAGGACTGCTGTGTTGAAGTTTTATTGTAATTATGACTCCTTGATTGGTAAACATTCAAATAGTTGTTTTTGGGTATAGTAAGATCAGAAGAATTACTTTTGAGTGTTGCATGTTGTGGAAAAAGTATGTAACATGCAAAATTGCAGTTGTTGATGTATCAAAGTTGATTCTTGTATCTTATTATGAATTTTCAGGAGTGTGTGCGAAATAACCGAAGCACTGTGTATGAACTAATGGCTAGTCATGGTGATAAAGAAAACCTTGTAAAATTGACTCTAGTCAACAAAGATTATGAGAAGGTTGTGCGTCAGCATCTCTATGAAAATAATTACCTGGATGGCAAGTACAATTTTGACTATGCAATTAGATGCTTAGTAGAAGACTTTAAACTTTTTCCTATTGTATAGCTTTTCAACTTCAGGTTGAGATCAAACAATTTCAATTGGAGAAAGAACACAATGGAATTGAGACTATACTCAATCATGTTGAGGCTTAGCACTTTCAAGTTGAAGTTAAGCCATTTCAAATTAAAAACTATCTTGTGAGAACCTAAAAAGTGTAAATAAATGAAATCAAATTAAGAAATTCTGGATAGATGCCTCAAAAACATGTTTATTAATACATTACTGATAGTCAAACCTTTTAACATTTTAATAATAATTTACATAGCCATGTGAGCTAAATTGAAGGCACCTTGAATGAATTTTTGTACTTTAGCAACATACTTTACCAATTATTAATCATGTATTAATAAAGTATGTTCTAAATGATGAAGACGTACTAACTCACTTTGCAACATATTTACCCCGTCTTCATTACCCTTCAATATTGAAGTTAAAAATGTATGTTTTCACATAAGCTTTTCAATATCAAATCCGTAAATTAATTCGTGAACAGTTTTTTAATTTAAAAAAATGTTTTTGCTGAATTTTGAGTCAAATTATGACAATTTTCCAAAAATACCTCTCCAAGATTTTCTCCAAAAGGTTTCAAATTTTATGTTCTTAACTATTCATATAGGGAAAGCATTATACTTGCTTTTTAAAAGGGCCATTTATATTAAGACCTTTGACTTTTGCAATGTTGCTTAAATAATATTGTTGGAACATCTCGCATGTTAATGTTAACATTTTAAATGTATTTTATAATTTAAAACATTTGTAGACACTTGCCCATCAGTTGATCAGATATAGTCATTTTTGAAATTTCAGAAGTACTCAAGTATAAATCATTCCTTCCTTCCTTCCTTGCGTACATAAAAAAAGTTTCTCTTTGTTGTTGTCAAAACCAGGAGTGTTAACATGGTCTGGTAAAAGAAAGGGCAGCAGTTTTAGAACTATTGAGAGAAAAGATTTTTGCATGTTCATGGCCATTAATTTTTAACTTATTAAAAAAAAGAAGGGAAGTCATAGCAGACATTAATTGTTGCTTTTATTTATTGCATATTATTACTGGAACAAGTTTTTTACCTCAGTCCATGATGCTTTGAGTTGCTTTGGATATAACATAACTTTTACAAAGAATGAGAATGTTTTGTAATGTGCAGTTCTTTTTATATATGTTGTTTTGAAGATTATATTGATTTTCCTTTTCAGCATTGGAGGTGCTTCGCACACACGGCCGCAAAGAATTGTTCTATCAGTTTGCTCCTACTTTGATGCAAGCTATTCCTCGGCAAACAGTACAAGTACTCATTGCTCAGGGACGCCAACTTAATCCGGCTAAATTGTTGCCAGCACTTGTAACATGTGAACCTCAGCAGGTATATTGTTTCCAAACTGATTTCATTCAAAATAAAACTTTGATAACTTTCAGACACCTTTTGACTGCTAGTATAATCTGATTAGAGTTATATTTGAGATGACGTCTAACAGATTTTTGTCAGAAATTCAATGTTCTCCTGATATATCATGGATTTATTTGTAGGCAAGTGAAGCTGTACGCTACCTTGAGTTCTGTGTGCAACAACTTGGGTGTCGACAACAGGCTGTTCATAATTATCTCCTCTCTTTGTACGCCCGCTTGCAGCCTGATCAGCTGATGAGCTATCTTGTCTCACAAGGTGGGTTTTTGATTTTTTAAACCTAAACACATCTCAAGAGATGCAAAGTAGTAATCAAAAACAAAAAGAAAGCAATCAAATAAATATCTAAGAAAGCAATGGTTTGAAAGATGTGGTTACTGTAAAGCAGGTCTTACTATCAGTCAGTAGAGCCAGTTATGCTATTATCAGAGTCCAGATTTTAACGGAAAGTATTTTTTCTAATTTGATCGTGTAAATTTGAATAATTAACAACATATTTCAAACCGGTGTTTCTGCCCCAAAATAATGTGATTTTAACTTCACTTCCTTTTTGATATTTCCCCGTACTGCAAAATTTTTCTTCTGTTTCAATTGTGGACAAGATATTGAGAAAATTTTGGCAAGTTATAAACATTCCAAAAATTACGTATAATAAGACCTCTCACTTATTTACAATTTGTTACAAGAGAGTTTTTCAAAGAATTGAAACGCAGAAGAGAAACATCAGTGAAATGGAGGAAGGAAAAAGGCAGCTATCATGTCATTTGCTCTCACATGCTTAATTGCTGTCATTAGATTTAGCAAGAAATTTTTACAATACAATCATCATGCTTCTCTGTTTCTGTGCAGTTAGTTAGGACAGTGTCAACTGAGAGAAAACGCATTAACAATGGATGAAAAACAATTGTGTATATGTGTATTAATTATAGTTCCATCTACTTGTATATATTTTGAATTTTGCTGTAAAGTATATTTGAACAGTTCCATTGGCATACATAATAGTGCCACACTGTGTTAGTAAAATGACAACTCCATGTCTAAAAAGAAGCAAGCAAAACTCTTTGGTCAGAAACTTTAAGGATGATTTTATCCAAACTGACTGGAAGATTTTTTGCTGTTCATTGTGTGATGTTAGTTTTACAGGAAATGAGAAATACATTAAAAACAGAATAATACAACACTTGAAATATGTATAGCACCAGAAAAACAGCGAAATTCACAGTAAAGCTTCAAAGCAGTCATTTGTTCTTGTGGCTTTACAGAAGGCAGAAGAAAATGGTAGGCAAGAGAATGCATTTTTCAGTGACTTGACAGCTGCCTCAGTGCACCAGCAGCATGCACCAGCTATGAAAAATTTCTTAGAAAATTACCCAGGAAGATCCCTTCCAGATGCAAGTACTCTGAGGAAAAATTATTTAAAACCAATCTATGGAGTCACTTCTTCAGAGAATGAAGAAGAAATTTTGACAGTCCTCTTTGCCTATTTTGGATGATGGACTTGTAATTTCAGGATGGTTGTAAATCTTATGTTGCTTTGACAGAAGACCCATCTAAATAAATGTTTGCTGTGTATGAATGACAAAAAGTCAATTGTACAATTATGCAATTTTTCAATGACTGTTGCTGTAAACTGTGATTTTCAGGGATTTCAAATAGCAAAATAACACAAGTTGTAACCGATCAAACAAATATATGATTTGAGTATTTGCACAATTGAAAACTATGTACTTGGAACTTCATCACATAAAATGTATTGCTTTTGCATTGTAGAGTATGCAAAACAGAGTAGAATAATGCACTGCACATAACTTGATTTCTGAACTTAAAGCTCCTAGTAGGATGCACAGTTACAGGAAGATCACAGACTTTGTCCAATTTTTCCATCATAACATTCCATCATCAGATGGGGAACATGGAGTTCATGTTTTGTTTTTCGCTGTGAAAATTTTGTGAATGTTAAGGAGTTTCTGTTGCCCTTTATTGATGAAGAATCTGCAGCTGATGCACAGACAGAAGCTTTATTGAAGAGTCAAAATTTACAGTCTGAATTGATTATAGTGTACATTTTCAAACTTCTTCCAAAGGCCTCAAAACTTCAAGAGGAAAGTTTACTGAAGGAGTCTCAGTGGAATGTGATTTTACAGCATGCTTGAGTGTTTTGAATGGAACAAACTGGAGCAAAATTTATTCAAAAATACAGATTTTAAAAAAGGAGTAAAATGCTGAGTTCAGAATCAGTACCAAATTCTCTCTACTCATTTCTGTCAACAATGAAAGATCATTTCTTTACACTACAAAAAAACTTTGCAGGTGAAGTGGCAGAACCTAACTTTCAGACATCTTGAAATGTGATTCATTATAACTCCTCATTAATTAAAGTGAAAATTAAACATGTGTATCTCTTTTTGCATTTTGTAAGGCGTCTTTTTAATTACCTTTTTGCTCCTTATTTTTCTCTCGTTTTTGGTCCTTTTTAGAATAAACGTTTTCTCTTTAATATTCAGTCTCTGGTTATTACTATTCAAAGTCTATTAGTCTTTATATAATATTATTGTTAGTACCTACTAAATGTTTTTAAGAAATTATTTTGATAATTTTGTAGAAACTTTTATATGTTATTGCACAAGTAATTACACATGTTATTAAGGAAGTTCAAAAATGTAAATTAGAATATTAAGATTAAGTAATAGCATTATCAAGGCAGGGAAAAGTAGTCAGGCGAACTTGTTAGTGTTTGCAGTAGTGATGAACACTTATTGAAATATTCAATTACAAACGTTGTTTTTCTTCTTTTATATTAAATTCCATATGCGTAAAAATAATTAATGAAAATTTTAAGTCAGAAAAAAATTTTGAACCAAGGTGTTCTTGGTGTTTTTCACTGACCTGACACTTTTGAATGGACTCATTACTTTGCTTCAGTGTAGACTTTAATGTGTTCTGCATGGGGGCCTTGCTAAAATAGTCTCTCTGATTGTAGGGCAGGATGCCAGTGTTGTGTGCTATGACATTCACTATGCTCTCCGACTGTGCCGTGAGCTGGGCTTGGCTGAAGCGTGTGTGCGATTGTCTGCTCTGCTGGGTCTGTGGGAGGCTGCTGTGGAGTTGGCATTGCCTGTGAGTGTGGACCTAGCCAAACGCACTGCCCAAATGCCACCATCTGATGACACTGAACTGCGGCGGAAATTGTGGTTGAAGATTGGTAAGTCAACAGAATTTATATTTATCTTTATTTTCTCATGTCATCATTGTACCTTGATAGCTCAATAAATTCTTTGAAATCTATTGAACTTATTACTAATAACTTCATCTTGATTAAATGATATATCACAGCCAAACCTATTTAATGCTCAACCTGTTCTCTTGTGTGTCCCTCTATGTCTATTTTTTTTCTTTGTGGATTCTTACCCTTGAATGCCATGGCCTTTGTATTTTTAGATTCTTTTTCAATTTGCAGAAGTATATTGATGTGTCTTTGTAAGTCATTTTCTGATTCATGCAGAAGTTTGTTCTGCTTGAATTAATCATTGACAGTATTGATCTTATTAACATACCTATTTCATAGCATGATTCCTAAAGGAGCTCTGTGTTTCCACTTTGGAGCCATTTTTTATTTTTATTTTCTCACCATTTAGTTCTTATGATGCCCCTGCCCCTGATATCTAACACTGAATTGTTCTCATAAGGATTCCTAATTATAGGTGACTTGGCTATCCTCAGTTTTGCATGATATTCCAGAGTTTAGTTTTCTCCATCTTATCAAATGAAATAATCAATGAAAGCAATATTCTTCTCTAAGTTAAACTCACTCAACTCCGCTGATACACTAGAAGCAATGAAACTGAAATGGAGCATGTATCTGTGATACATTATCACCTTGTGATTTCGTCAAGCTCAGGCACAGGATCTGTTATGCAAGTGTCATTTACAGTGTCAATTTCATTTTAACTATTGAAAATTTGGATTTCTGTATTCTTAAACTTTTTCCTGCAAGTGGTTTATTAAAAGGGGTAAATTGCAAAAATTGCTGTTAAGAAGTTGGTGAGTGGGAAGAGGGGTGGTCTGTTAATAGAGGTACGATTTGCAGACACAATATGGGTTTTAATATCTGATTCAAGAAAAAAAAAGATCATTGAGAGGGATTGACTTTTAGAGAGGTATATTTATATTGTAGAAAAGAAAACATCTGGAGAGGGGGATGGCAAAACTTATAGAAAATATTGAAGTTTGTTCTGTGTACTTACTGAAAAAGTTTGAAATTGAAGTTTGTTCTGTGTAAAATACTGAAGTATATTTTATATAACCGTTATAGGAGTATCATATATACTATACGTTGCATAAAATATTGCAGTTTTGTACCTGATATTATTTATGTGACAAAAAGAGAGAAACAAAAAAAATGAGCAGCAGTACACCTTAATTTTCCTAGAAAATTGATTTTTTAGTATACATTAGTCCCTAGGGTGAAGTATGATACTGATGTGGGTCCAGAGATGAAATTAATCATTACCCTTTTGAGGTTTACTTAGGAGTCGTTCTCAAATTGGAACATAATTTATTGAAAACTGAAAAAAGTAAATACTTTTGATACATTTTGCAATATTTCTAAATAAAGTTTCCATACGAATATACCGATGTATTGGAAGATAAATACCGGTAGGTACGTGTTTAGAAAACATTTGTGGCGTCATCCCTACGTGAGGGGGGGGGGCGTGCCTCGAGTCGCACACTGAGGGATTGTTGGTGGGGGAGTAGGGAGGGGAGAGGAGATGAGATGAGCACAATAACTCGTTGCCAGAGAGGACCTTCGCTTTTATTGACTCGCAGTCGCGCGGGGTGGAGCCGGCCGTCGTCCTCAGTCGACGCGGTAGAGCAGCGCGTGTCCCGCGGACACGGTGGTGAGCGTGGCGGGGCGGTAGGCGGCGACGGGCGCGAAGCCAGGGGCCAGCACCAGCGTCGGCCCCGCATCGTCGGAGCCCTGCGCCACCTGCAAACCACACGCAGGCGCATTGGCACGGCATGGAGCTGGAGCTGTTGCATATTAGCCCAAATCGCAGCGCATGCGCGGACGCCCAGGTTACGCTAAAGCTATAGCGGAAAACGCTAGTCCATCAGTAATCGCGTGACTTGTGTCGCACGCCGACTTTTTGCGAGATCTCCCTGTACGGATTTTGTTTTTAACTGTGGCGGCGGTGTGTGCTCATGAGTCTATATTCTTATCATGGGACGCCTTGTTGGTGGCATCCACTTGTTTATATAATAGTAATTACATTTATTTAATAATATAATGTATTCTGGCACAGTCAGATTATGGCCAAGCCACGACCCTGCAATCTCTTAGTTCTCACTTTCACATTGACGTGATCTGAGAACCACACACTTTCGTGTACTACCGCAGCCAATGCACTTTGTAAGAGCATACATTGAAATTCATCATAACTATTTCTCTCTAAACGCTCCGTCATATGTGGCGCTCATGGTATAAGAAAGTTTGATCAAACAAACATGAAAGTACACATTTTACTTAACGTCGTTCTGTTGAGAAGAGAACGTATGTACTGCTCTGTTATATCGATGAGTAGTTGTCACATGAATGTTGACGGTTATTTTGCGTGGTGCGTCCATGTTTATGTTAAACGGAGGACATGATTGATGTCGTCACTTCTACATGTTAATTGTGAGTGGTTCTTTAGACTGCGAGGCGGGACGTACCCAAACACCGCAAATTTAAAAAAAAAAAACTTTTTTTAATTTTGTGCTTTTTGATACTTTACTAAATCACAAGACGCGTGTATGCGACACGCAATTGTACAAAGTAATTTGGACCACTCTTTTTTTTCCCTTGGGAGAGTCCCGCTCGCTTTCGGGAATTGTTAAGATCGAAGCCTGCGCCCGGTTCTAAAACACGCCAACAGTCTACTACGTACATTCACAGCTCGAATGGACAACCTCCCCTATATATTGAACCATGTTATTGCAGTATTCCTAAACACTGTTTTTGTTAAAATATTGCATAAGGTGTTGCAGAGTTTAACGGGAGTATTTTATTTGTTGTTCTTGAGCAGTGTGCATGCTACTTTGTCGGAGTCATTTTGGGCGGACTTTTGATTCAGATTATCGTGATTTCCTCGTCTGCACGCGGGAGCAGAGAACGCGAGAGAGTTTCTTAATACGCAGGTCAGGAACGAATCAGGCGCAGAAGACATTCAGAAGATTTGGACTGTTCCGTTCTGAAAGGCTGGATACTAATGTTAGCCGGTCATTTTTAGTCTAAATCTTTGCGAATTGCGCATGCGTTGGAGATAATAGAGCTGTCGATTCCAATAACGTTTCGCCATGCAAAAACTCTCGGTATGTGTTATTTGGATACTACTCGGAATAAACGATGCTACGTTAGCTACAAGGAGAGATGTTTCTCAGCGTCGAACTCTACAGCGCTGGAAACGAAGGACCCCTTGCGCATGCGCCAGCTATAAAAAAGCGATGTTAGGTACAAATCTAAGGACAATGCACCACGTTTTGTTGCGTCAGTCACTACTCTGATTTTGAAAGGAAAACGCTCTTGGAGATGGCGCGCGCGCGAGATTTCTATTAGACGCCTAATGATGCAACACGCAATACGTGCGCGTACGGCAAATTGCTGACCGCTCAGACAGCAACATCTTCGTTCTAGAATTATTGTGGATCAATCCTGCGCAACGCTTGCACTGCTCATTTTTTGCATTCAAGTTGTATTAGAGTGGCCGAAGTGCAAATGGCGGGGGGTCGGTCACTTATCTTGGAAGGGAGCAGTTTGCTATTGTTTTGAGAATTTGCATGAGTAATGTTTCATTATTACCTGAAGTTTCCCGTCGATTTGTTGTCTGAAAATAATTTGAAGTGACGGAAAAGCAAATTTTGATATACGTCAGTCACTCAGGCGAGCCGAGATCGCGTTGCATCAGAATCGTGCCTTCTAAAGCCGAAATCAATGTTGCATGTATTAAGGTGTTACTCTCAGATGATTTGACTTTGTAATTTCAAATACTTAATTTTTTACCTCTTACTATAAATCAGGGTAAACGTGGCTCAAAGACAAGACGAGGGAATGCGTGGCATATTTAAAATGTTCCGTGTGTTAATCATGAATAAGTTTCTTTGGCTGTAAAAGCTTCCATTCGAATATTCGTCAATAAAATATTTAAATATTAATTAACCATACAGAAAATGTACAGTGCAATACATTATTTTGATTCTTCTCGATCAACATGAGCGATGGTTTAGTTTCCTTGTGTCTCAAAACATCGAGTACTTTTTCGGTCCCTTATAGATTAGTTTAAATAAACCGGTCGGAGTATCATAACATATTGTATCATAATGTTTTTTTAAAGAAAATATCGTGTATAAAAATGCGACATTGTGCATTCGAAGTATTTGTGATGACAAATGCGTAAAGTGTGAAGTACATAAGCAATATAAGTATTAAAGACAAAAAGTCTTAGATACAAAATACAAATTTGTAATTTTTGAAAATTTAAAAGTTTTAATCAATCTTATGTGATTTAATCTTCGTACTCTGTAAAATAAGTGTGTGGAGCTATAACCTGTGCGCTTTATGTGAAGTGCCTACCAAAATTTAAGTATTCTAAAGATTTGAAACTGCACCAAAAGACCTTATCGTGACGTGTGTAAAAAAAGCAACACATTCTTCCCCCCCTTAGGAATGGTTGAAACGGACCGAATCCAGTATTTCTCTACCGTGCTACGAAAAGCTGAGCAAAAGTAACAAGTCGACAGCATGCAGGTTGGCAGCGTGCCTTCGCCGCGGCATTCTCTTCACCTTCACGCTCAACAGGCTGCGATGGGTCAATCATTGAATCATGCAATCCTTGATTCTGCACTGTCATTGACCGTGAAGTTCTAGGTTTCAAGTCCCGACGTGGGGAATTTTCAACTCTAGCTACATAGCTCGGTGGAATTCAACCACTGTCTGAAGGAGAATTGTACCGGACTGCTCCTCTTATCGGTAGTTTTCCGTGGTTCCTTCGATGAATATCTGGTTGGTGAATTGCTGAGCGGAATTTTAGGAAACTGTATTTGGACCACGCGTGATCTTTCTTTTCTCATTCTCACCTTTTTCATATCCTCTCTCCTTTAATTTACATTTGGACTTACATGCACTACACTACCACTCTCTTCGGGAGTTGAGAGTTTGTCCCGCATGAGGCGGTGCCTCGTTGGAGGAAGATACACGGAGGAGGGAATACTCCTCACAAGCCGTCGTGTAGACCGCCGCCGGATCTCACGTTCCAGTGGGTAAGGGACACCGACTCCTCCTGGTATACAACATTGAGCATTCTTACGGGCCTAACCGTTCGTTGGTCCGCTGGCGGCGTGGACGGTAGGGCGGAGGGCGTATGGTAAGGTGTCGTTCGGGGGGTGGTGCGTCAATGAGTACAGTGATGTTTCCGGGCGCGTCAACAGCTGTCAGTGCCGAAAGCGTAGTGCATTTTTTATAGCGAGAGGTTGTGGTCTTTTCCCGCTGGATGGCAAGATCCACTCGTAGCAAGAACCGACCCACCCGTCGGCTTATGGCGCTTTCCCTAACTAGGTATCTCCGACCAGCGGGGAACCGCCCCAGCTGGCTCAAGCTCTAAGCTCCCGATCGGTCTCCCGGCGGTAGTGAAGTGTGTGTAAATAAGGGGTGAGCGGGGAAGGAAAGATTACGCGCGGACCGTGGCCCGTCTGTTACGGTACTGCTCCGGATTCGCTGGTGTTGATCGGAGAAACACGGACTAGGTCAGTCATAGAGCTGCCGTCCGCTAGATTCCTCCTCAGACAGGGATTAGCATATCTAGCTTGTGTGGAAAGTGCTGGGAGTGGAACCCCGGGGCAGGGCTCTGCAAGTGACAGTGGCGTGAGGCGCGGGCCTCACCTGCGGCGCGGGGGGCGGCGGGGCGGGCGGGCGGCGCGCGCGCGGCGTCGGTGCGCCGCCAGGTGCTGCTCGCGCGCCGCCGCCACCTCGGGCGTGTGCGTGGGCGCCGGCGGCGCCGTGGGCAGCGCGTCGCTGGCGGCGCGGAAGCCCCCGCCGTCCGCCACGTAGTCGGTGCGCACCACGCGCCCGTCGGGCCCCACGTAGCTGAAGCTGCCCACCTTGCTGCCCGACGCGTCCTGCCATCCACACACAAACACTCTCAGAAGAAGAAGAAGAAGAA